AAAAAAAACATTTTTTTAATCCATTGAGAAAGCCTATATTGGTGAAATGCTGCACCATTATTGTTGCACCATTATTGTTTTTGTTTTATCTCGCTACTGGCTGTCTGTTACTTTACCGAAGAGGACACTCACCGCATATCCTACAAGCGGGGATCATACCACTGCAAGCTATTCACACCAGAGCTAGATTAAGCTCTACAAAAAAGTGAGTAAGATCTCTTCTATTTATATTATCTCTTGGATCACCCTGTATCATCACCCTTATCAACCTGCGAGGAGCAGAACCCTAAAACTCCAGAGACCAACCTAGGATCCAAGTTCCACTATATTTGACTTCGTTGTATTATTACTACCCCTACAAGGACTTTAATTAATTTAACTTGTTTATTGGAGCAGTCCCATCCCTTTGTTTATAAGCTACTATCTAACTGGTACAGAACTCCTGACTCTCTACACCGCATTAACGCAGACACCCCAGACAACTGTTGGAGGTGTGGAGCAGAGGGCGGATCCATGCTCCACATATGGTGGATGTGCCCTGTTATCACCACTTTTTGGACAATGGTGAACTCTAAGATGCGAGAAATCGCTCACTCAGACCTACCACTCCAACCTCTCCATGCTCCTACACCACACAGACATGACCCACAAGACATACAAGAAATCCCTAACTAAACACCAACTCATGGCAGCAAAAATCCCTCATACCTACTGTGGCAAGACCAATCTTGCCACTGTGCATTGGAGGAGCCTGGTTGCCCGCCTGCTGCCTTTAGACTATGGCCCCATGTTGAAACGCTTGATTTTCCCCTGCAAAGACACGAAAGCTGGGTCATTCGGTGCTTGCCCTGTTTGAGCGGTGATTCCCCAGATAGCTATGCCATGGAGCCCATTCATATAATGAAAGACTATGGGAAAGACTTTGGCTCCATGGCAATTGAACTGTATGTGTGTGAACTGAGCGCCATTCAGTAATAATGTGCGCTCAGATCTGGGCTATCTGAGGATATGTTGAATGTACCTGTTTTATGTAATGGCTGCACAGTTATATATTTTTATGTATTTTATTGTCTTTTGCTGCCATGTGTTCAATGGAGTTTTGCCTCTGTTCTTGGAGATAATTGGATTACTTCCCAATTATCTCCAGGATAGAAGACTCTGTGGAACTGGTTTTGGGCAGAAAAGCCATGCTTCATTTGGTCACAAATGACTACGATCTATCTTTTGAACCACTTGACCAATTTGTATGATTTTGACGTATGTTTGTATTTGGATTATGCTGATTCTGAAAATGTAAAATGTGAATGTGATGCATACTTTTAAAATTATGAATAATGTGGAAAAACTGTATTTCTCTGCCTGTGATAATTACATTACCCATTGTGTAAGGTAATTGTACCACAGGCAGAGGGGAGGATTTTGTGTGGGAGTGTCTGAGTGTATTGTACGTGTTTATTGTTTGTTTTCCAAAACCCTCTGGGTGGTACTAATGTGTAAGAATGTGTATATAAGAACAATAAACCCACAGCTTTGTCTGTTCCTGCTTGACCCTCAAAACAGAGCCTTGTCTCATTATTGGGGGGATTTATTGTATGCTGTTCCAGTTCGACTGCTAGGAGTGTTAACCTATTCGTATGGTTTTTCCTATTCGGCTGTTTACAGCATTCATATGGTTTCCTGTTCGGCGGATTGGTGTCTTTGGTAGCTGCCTGTATATCTGGAAAGGACTTTTAACCCCTTTTATGCCTGGGGGTGCCGTTACACCTATGCTCTGGAAAAGGGTGGGGGCACCAGCATAGGCGTGCGCACGGGGTGTGCCGGGTGTGCCTGGGCACACCCTAATCCCCGTGGCACGCCTATGGTTTGAGTCCTGCAGGAACAGCGTTCCTGCACTCTTTTGAGCAGGAACGCTGTTCCTGCAGGCACTCAGTGCCCCCTGTCTCACCTCTTGCCACTGTCATGGGAGGGCAAGAGGTGATGATTCCCCCCCACCCTGCAGCTCAGCGCGCGGCGAGGGAGCGCTCTGCTCTCTGCTTCCTCTCGCCGCGCGCTGATGCCGGGAGCCGGAATATGACGTCATATTCCGGCTCCCAGCTCCAGCAGACAGCCCGCGCGGCGAGAGGGAGCAGACAGCAGAGAGCTCCCTCGCCGCGCGCTGACCTGCAGAGAGGCGCCCGCCCCCACTGGACCCCAGGGACAAGTCCACCAGCACTCCAGGTAGGAGGCTGGGTGGACATTTAAAAAAAAAAAATTCAAATATAATAATTTGTGTGTGTGTCTGTGAGTGTGTGAGTATGTGTCAGTGTGTGTCTGTGAGTGTGTGTCAGTGAGTGAGTGTGTGTGTGTGTGTGTCAGTGTGTGTGTGTGTCAGTGTGTGTGTGTGTCAGTGTGTGTGTGTGTCTGAGTGTGTGAGTATGTGTCAGTGTGTGTCAGTGAGTATGTGTCAGTGTGTGTCAGTGTGTGTGTGTGTGTGTCTGTGAGTGTGTCTGTGAGTGTGTCTGTGAGTGTGTCAGTGTGTGTCTGTGAGTGTGTCTGTGAGTGTGTGAGTATGTGTCTGTGAGTGTGTGAGTATGTGTCTGTGAGTGTGTGTCAGTGAGTGTGTGAGTATGTGTCAGTGTGAGTGTGTGTCTGTGAGTGTGTGTGTCAGTGAGTGTGTGAGTGTGTGTGTGTGTGTCTGTGAGTGTGTGAGTATGTGTGTGTGTGTCTGTGAGTGTGTGAGTATGTGTGTGTTTCTGTGAGTGTGAGTGTGTGTGTCTGTGAATATATATACGTATATATATATGTATATATATGTGTGTGTGTGTGTATATATATATATATATATATATATATATATACACACACGCGCGCGCGGCGTGTGTTTGTGCTTTAGGGTGCACACCCTAATGCAATAGGCTGCGCACGCCTATGGGCACCAGCCTTCCAACAAGGGGTAGACAGGGTGAGTGAGATACACTCCATGGAGTCGTTGACCACAGCCCTCCATGGCCACCCGGATGACTGTACTAGAACCTGGACCCCTTGGCTGTTGTACACGGCCAACAACACAATGGGCACTTAAACTGCCCCTCCTCTCCCCCCACCTGCCTCTTCCCCCCTTCTTTTTTTTCCCTCTCCTCTCTCTTCCACGTGAAGGAATCCCAAGCTTTTGCTTTTCTCCCCTTCACTCGCCTCTGACAAGTCCTTCCCTTAGCCCAGCCCGACGGATGACCTACCCTCCGACTTACTCCCCCCCTTACCGAAGAGCACGGAGATAGATGAGTGTAGACAATCACCACTCGACTGACTCCTGCACCCTCTGACGACCCACAGGTATGCATCACTGACTCAGAGACTAGCAGCCTATGTGTATAAGCACGTTACCCTAATGTAGAGGCAATGTGCATCCACCGTCTCTTGCCTATTATTTTTCCGGTTCCATATGTTTTGGACTCGCTTCTTTAGAGGTCAGTTTGATACTTGCACTTCCCCTTGGCACATGCAGCAAGTACTTTAGATATGTCTCCTTTTCACTATATTTGTAAAGAAACTACCTACCAACCTTACTCTTTATATTTTTGCTATTTGTTCGACTATGCAATGTGAAACTCTGTGTTTTATCAAACAAAATAAAAGAAAATAATGATTGTCAAAAAAAAAGAAAAAAGGGGAACTGGGGGCATACCTGGGTGTGCTCCCATTTCACATTTGTTCTGTGTATGCTTGGAGTCCAAACCAGATTCCGCTTTTGGTTAAGCACCCCACCCCTCTACTTCAGGTGCCCCTTTGGAAGTGACCTCAAGAAAGTATAAATTTGAGGACATTTTGGATAGGAATATCACTTTAAAATGTATTTGATATAGTGGAGATTAAATATATTCGTAAAAGCACTCTCATATTTAGTGATGGAACTAAATGAATCATGTAATGTACTTTAATTTTAACTCAATTTATATTGATTTAGCACTATCACTATTTAAGTAGTTTTGCAGGTTAAAATTAGTGGGTACTGTGGGGTACTGTCATGTAGTGGTGGGCGTAACACAATATGGCCATATGGTGTAACTGAATCCCATATTTGTTTGCTGAGAAAGGTGTTTTTAGGTAGCCTTGTAAAATTTAAAACTGTATTTTACTGTGCGCTCTATTCCTTAAACAGTGGTCACAATATGACTTCGATTGACTCATTCCGTAGTTTCATTCATGCGATCTAAAGAACAGAACAGTTCCTAGGTTGATATTACTTGAGCTAATATCATATAAACCTGAGCTGAATGGCATATGGGTAAAATCAGACCCAATAATTACCATAAATAAAATGATCCTGATTCACTACTCCCTGCATCTGGGTTCATTTTTTTTTAGTATTTATAAGGAAATATTTAGCATAGTCTGAAAGTGTGACTAAGTAATGTCCCTTGTCTGATATCAGTATGCATTCATCTGTCTGATTTCTTTGAACAACCATTAAGTAGCTGTGTGGGAACATCTAAAAATGGTGATATGTATCTTTATAAAAAAAAAAAGTTGTTAATTATTCATTACTTTATGCAATGCAGAATAACTGAAAATGGCTCTAAATAAGTATACATTATATAGTATCTCTCAATATTGCAACAGCTTCAGATTAGTTAGTGCAAAAAGGCAAATATAAATCCTAAAACATACTGTGGCAAATAGTGTAAAAAGAATTGCTAAAATTACCTGTGTGTGGGGACATGTGAGTAATCTGTTTGTATAGGTGGGAATGTAAATTTACGAAATGATGGCAGAATTTAAAATGATGTGTCTCTACATCGCTACATAGTATACGCAGTACATACCTTCACAAATACTATTTATAATGTGTAATGTATATAAGAAAAAACATTGCAAATGTTTAAAATACTATTACATATTTATGACTACCATATATGAAGACCACAGTGTGTGGTTGAATTGCTATCATCATATATTCTGACTCCAATTAAAGCCTGTATTTTCTGACTTGATGTGCTCTAAAAGATACAAAATGAATACTGTGTAGTACCCTATCCCACTTTTGTAGCATAGAAATTTGAGAACCTCACACCAGAAACAACAGTAATGGTTGAAAAAAAACTAACAGAAAGTAGAAACAAAAAAGAAGAAGGAAATAATTACATTAGCAAAACCAAAAGACAAAAAAAACAAAAAACAAAAACAAAAAAAAGACAAAAAATATGAATTAGAAGAAAAAACATAAAAAGACATAAAACAAAACAGAGACAATGGTAAAGTCAATTAAAGATACAACAATAATAAGATAAGGAGAACGTTAGTAAGAAATAGCAATATATATTCCCTTTCCCCCACAAAAGAAAGGGGGAAAGGGAATATAAAACTGATAAAATAAACATCCTTTTACTGTAAATTATGGAGGATTACGATGACTTTTAATAAATAAAAGACAGGTATACGAATTGTGCTGTAAATGTCTGTTAACAGCACCGGATATATACTCAACGCTCCGTAATTCTATATACAATCACTAAGTTACTCATGTTACATCTATGGGTTAGATATTTATTTAGTCAATAAATCTTACTTTTGAACTACAAGCCGGAGGCAAAAGCCTTGATGTGTCATTTTAAATTTGTTTTATTTTGTCCTTTTCAGAGTATATGGACATTATTTACTTTAGTTTAGATAGCAGTGATATAGCTGACTTCTAACTAAAATGAGTCATATAGCCCACAGCAGAACATAGTGTTACATATATGCATTAGAATGATGATGTGTGGAAGTGTTATTTTAGGCATCTGTTTAACCTTTCAAATCCCAAAAAACTGCACAGCATGCCCTTTAGTAATCATAAAAAATAAATCATATATGGCAAATTATTTTCAGTTGAGTTTATATTCTACATGCATGTAAGAACATATACAGTGTTGCTAATTACTAATTCTCGTATCACATTTAAACTGCAATGTTAAACTACTATCCTTCAGTGTAGATTATTGATAAAATATTGCTTTCTATTAAAAATATATATTTTTTGCAAAGCTAGGTGGCACTATAAGGCTTATACCTTTCCTTGTGTCTGACAATAATCCAAGGAAAGTGTAAATTTGTACTGAGCTGTACAGTATCAATACGCACTATTATTTTTTTTATTTTATTTTTTTAAAGCAGTGAACACATCTGATAAATGCTGCACTCATGAGGGACAATAACTTTGTTCTCAATATACTTCTACATCCTACATCTGTGCATCAGCAAAAACATCTATAAAGGGACCTGACAAATTAAGCAAACAAATGGAAAAAAAATCACTGATACTTATTAAATGTTAGACAGCTAGCCCTACTGTAAACTATATATTTTTTAAATCAGTTTATTGTAAATTAATGAGCATAACTGAGTAGCGGATTTATTTACAGCATGTCCTTGGATCTGCTGAACAATATCAGCACGTTAATTATTGGGACAAGGTCAGAATGGAAAAAAATATAGGTGACTTACCCATTTCCAATAACGAAAAAAGAAAAGCATGAAACATGTTTTGAAAGCTGTAATGAATGATATATATATATATATATATATATATATATATATATATTCTAAAAATACTTCCATTAAAGCTATGTTACACATTTGCTTTTATTTCTCAGGTGCAGATGTTTGGTACTTTCTGGAAACAGAGGAGTTTAATCACATAAAGTGTTTGTATATTTGCACTGCAGACCTAGTGCGTCTTTTATTAGAGATTATTTAAATAACAATACACATATAAATGTATCTTTTATAATAGACATCTTCTCTATTCAACCTCAACCTTAAATCCACTGACAGGGTAAATTAATAACATTGATTATATTGTTACAATGGCACCTGTCAAGGGGTGGGATATATGAGGCAGAAAGTGAACAGCCCATTCTTAAATTCCATGTGTTGGAAGAAGGACACATGGGCAAGTAAAAAGATCTGAGTGACTTTGATAAGGGCTAAACAGTGACAGCTAGGCGACTGGTACAGAACATCTCCAAAGTGGGGTGTTTCGGGTATGCAGAGGTTAGTACCTACCAAAAGTGGTGCAAGAAAGGACAACCAGTGAATCGGCCAAAATAAACAAAGAACCCTGCACACTGATACCATGTAAATGCTCTGACCATCCACAGTGGAGGTTCTCCGTGTCAGGCGGACATCGTTGGACCCATCAGTAAAGTCTTCAAAAGGAATAAACGCAGGCAACACTCCAATAGTAAGGATGGTTTATTTATTTATAGGTGAACCACCCCATAGAAAGTGCGACGTATCGGCTCAGCGGAGCCTTAATCATGCATTATTAAGGCTCCGCTGAGCCGAAACGTTGCACTTTCTATGGGGTGGTTCACCTATCAATAAATATACCATCCTTACTATTGGAGTGTTGCCTGCGTTTATTCCTTTTGAAAACCAGTGAATTGGCATCAGGGTCATGGGTGCCCACGACTTATTGATGCACATGGGGAATAAAGGCTAGCCTGTCTAGTCTGATCACACAAAAAGCTACTG